AAAAAAAAAAATAGAGTTAAAGAATTTTTGAAACATTGATTTTGAATTTTATTCAGGTTTAAATTTTATAACAGAAGGGCTGCATTGGTTTTTAACACAATATAGTTTATTTTAAATTTAAAATATATATAAAAGAAGAAACAAATTTATTGCAGAAAAATATATTAATAAGTAAGTAAATTGAAACGAAAAGTTTCAAATCCTTCTTCAGTAGTTTTAAATGAAGGTTTGTATTCAACGGTTCTAATTTCTGGACCTGCATGTAGTTCAATTTTATAATAAAAATTAATCTGTCTTTCTGCAGATCTCAACATTCTTGTGTTAGTATTGGGGTTTATCGGAGGTCTGGTAAGTTTCATTTTAAATTTTGCTTTATAATTTAATCTCCTAGCTACTTTGCAATTCCTATCGTTGTATTTTATATTCTCGAATTGTGTTAATATTATAAAAATATCATGTGGAAGATCTTTTGCGCTTTCATATTCTTTTTCGAACGATATTATTCCCAACTCATCACTAACGACGTCACCTGTTGCGAATTCATCACTTAGTAACGTACATAGAACATTAAAAACTAAATTATGATAAGAAATGTATTGGTTATGCAATTGAACTGTTTCTTCTATTTGTAAGTACTTCGGTTTTAAAGCTCTCCAAGTTTCCACTGGGTCATTGTCTACTCTAACAATTAAAATACCCCATACTTTATTTCGAATTGTGCGTAAAACACTATAACTATCAAAATCTTCACTATCTCTCCAAACAACTTTTATCAAAAAAATAGACATGAGTCTTTTATTTTTGTGAACAACAAGTTCTATGGCATCAGCGAGAAGAGTAAAAACTTTGGACATGGCGGTATTTTGATGTTTTTCAGTTTCACATCTGTGCAACACGTAATCATCTATAACGCGCAGCAAGCCACTGGAGGTCTGACGGAGTTGGTATAGCCACGGGTTCCACAAGTCATCGAAAATTTTATATAAGATGTCGTTTGGAAATTTCAACAGATCCATGCCAAAATTTAAATAAACAACACTAAAGTTTAATTTTATATTAATCCAATAAACTAAATATTTGTGAACATCAAAACAGACGTAAAATTGTTTTCTGAATTTAATAACTTATTCAAATGTCTGTTATAAAACCAATATACATTTTGGGTTTTCATATACAAATAATTGTTATCAGATAGGATAGAGTTTTCATATATATAATTGGAATGTTTTCAGCACTTGTAATTATTCAACACTCAAATCTTGTATTGTAACACTTTGTCTTTAGTATTTTTCTTGCTTCATAAATTAATATTATTTATCAACGAGTATTACTTATTTAGCTGATAGTAATATTCCGACTGAGGTCCGACCTAAATGTAATGTCTTTTATATAAAATATTCTAAATGCAATATGTATTTCATCCCTTGAATTTGCAAGAGTATGTGTACCAAACTACCTGTTTGTATACACACATATGTAGAGTTTGTACATGACAATGCCTAAAGACTGTATTCTATTAAACACTGAACTCAAGTCATGACCTTTAATAAAATGTAACTAAAATTGTGAACTCATACACAAAATATACATAATCTGAAAGCAATGAAGTTCTTACCTGTTTTGTATACTTTTTAAATATTTAATTCTGAAGGGGAAGGAGATTTCTTTAGTTCAGTATTTTCTTCCAATCATCTTTCAAAAAAATATTTAACAATTTAAATATTACATGTTAGAGGTAAAGGAATACACTCACCATGATAGCTAAAGCAAGTAAATATATTTATAGATTATCTTATAAATAATTCAAGTACGAGTACGTAACTATATTAATTAATATTTACAGCACAAAAATTATATATTGGATACTAATATATTGGATACTATATATGGGTTTATAAAAGTTTTGCGTGAACTTCGCCAACATAGTATTTATTGGATATACTAAGTTTGATCCTTAAAACTCTTTAGATACTTAAGTAATATATGGGAATTTGTAATAGTTTTGGGTAAACTTCAATAATATCAAATTGAAATATTAGGTTTCATTCCTAAAACTCATTGTGAGATATTTAAGTAATATATAAATTTATATAAGTTTTGGGCGTATCCTAATAATTTCTAATTATAATACTAAATCTGATCCTTAAAACTTGCGGTGATATACTTAAGTTATATACAAAATTTGTATAAGTTTTTGTTGAACTTCAATAATATTACATGTAATGCAAATAATGAGTTCGAATCTATTATTATTTTAAGTAATTGACTTTATTAGATTATGACTAATTCAGAAGTAAATACGGTACTAGTTTAATGAAGAAAATGAGTTCAGTAAGTGAACTCCAGATAAAATGCTGGAAATTTAAAATGAAGATGGCTTCGGTGCTCTCCTTAGTTTCGTAAAGATTGGCATGTGTCATAAGAAATATATAATTGATAATAATTAATTAAAATAATAACAATTTATAACAATGAATGAAAGGAAATAAATGTTTAAAAAAACGAAATAATTAAGGTTTAATTATTATTATTATTAATTAATTAATTATGTTGAGGCTAGTTGAGTCAGCGCACCTGAGCACTTTTACTCTCTATTAACTGCGAGGTTTCTTCAAAACCCCTCTTTGCGCCTTGACTAGATTATTGTTTATCACTTCATCAGACTAAGCAATAATTGACCTCAGATCTGCATACCTCCCCGAGGTGCCTGTAACCATTCTGAGGTTTGATAACGCGGTGTTGGTAAGTCTGTCAGATTTCGCAAATAATAACCTATATTTTTGAAGTTAATTAATTTTCATTAATTCAGAAGAGTTCATTTACTAACACAATAAACATAATGCAATATTAAAAAATAATTCAAATTAAATTGTAGACGTGTAGTAGATAAAAAAAATATATAAAGATATATATATATATATATATATATATATTGAGACTATAACCCATTAGTGTACAAAGTTGTTTACAGTCAATACTATTATAGAATGCAAAGAACAAACTATTAATTTGATGTTTAATAAAATTTTATAAAACAGGGATGTCATAAAATAGAGCACACATTATTTTAAAATTAATATCAGATAATATTTAAACGTTCATTAACAAATATAGGACTTAAACAAAAAAGCAATTGGACTGTCATCAGCGGACTTTGGAAGAGAGTTAGAATATACTCGGCAGGAGTAAATCTAACCACTTTTTGTTGGGATCTCATAACATAGCTAGAATTGACTTTGATTAATGTAGAATTAAATCACGTAAATCAATAATAAATGAACAACGTTTTATGATACTTTAAGACTGCCTGTTATAGATAAAAAATTTTAGAAATAAAATTGTTGGAAGTCACAAAATTCTGAGTTACTATCATTCATTCCGGCTTCAATGACTTTTATTTGTTTTTCAATTAGAAAACGGGTTGTTGATAATAAATATTTAACAAATTTGGACATAATATCTATAGTTATTGAATAATATTCATTAGAAGACTCTAAAGAAAAAAAATACGTTTTTGTAAGATATAATTTGAATGCATTTGTAGCAGGTGTATAGAATTAATATAAGATAAGATTGATATAATCTCCAAAATCATATTAGCTGATGTAAAAAAAATTGATTTTAATAAATCAATCTAAAGGATCAATATATTATGTATTATCAATATATAAATATGAATAATAGAACTGCTCTATATATTTGTAATCGAATTCGAAAGCTTCAAACATAAAAGAGTTTCATTTAAGCCAAATGAAATTATAACTCTACTTTCAAGACATGAAAATACAAATTTTCAATAATCTGGTCTTATAGACAACAAAATTGCTAGTTAACTTTCTGACGGCAATTATATTCATATTATCAAAGTCACCGCACAACTATGACTAGCATATAAATGAACACTACGCTTTAGCATAGAACAGATCATTTACAAAATCGGTCAGTGTATTTTATATATTCTATATAATCTCAAAAAACTAGAAATTCTATACGTTATTTTTGTTTGTATGTAGAAATACTCTATATATGTATATATATATATATATTATATATATAAATAATGAAGATTTTCATAAATTTGGAATTGATAACTTAACGGTTAATATAAGTACTTCAATATATACAATCTAAATTTATTAAACTATTTCGAAAAAGTTCAATCAATTATTTTTGAAATGCAACAAATTTCAAGTTTTTATCATTTATAGTGCCAGAGATATGGACGTTTAAAAATGTTTCTACAATGCTAATTCTCAAAATCCCATGGGTCCATATCTTCCATATCAAAAATGGGTCCATATCAAAAATGTGTCAACATTTTTTTCTGAGATATGGATCCTTTTTATTTATAAAAGGAACTCATACAGATTTCAGCCAAATCAGAGGTGATGAGTTCATTTTTTGTCAAAATTCGTCTGATTTGTAAAGGAATGACCCGTGTGCCGACAATATTGAGTGCAGCTTTTCTTGAATGCATAACTAAATCTAGATTATATGAAAACTATTTTATATAGTCTCTTTTTTCATTTCATATTTTTAGTTCTCAATCATTATTCTATTGTCTATATACCCTAATACCATATGCATAGGTATACGCTACATACCCTAATACTATACGCTTTATAAGCGAAACATATCTTTAAACAAAAAATCAGCAGTATCAGCATTTTTGATGCACATTATAAAGAAGAGGTCCATAAAGCGCTAATATGAAGAGCATCTAAAGTGTTCGGTATAAAACACCGAAACCCTGCAAAGAAGCGTCGTCTTAAGTAAAACTCAATCTGGATTAAAAATTTCAAAAAGCATTTATACAAAGAACAAATTAATTAGCAAATGAAGTGTCGCAGTATTTATTGTATTTATAGAAGAACTAAACAAAAAAACATAGAATTTTAATAACAAATAGTTCGCCAGCTGTAAACATGGAATTTTTAAATAATAGTTTAAATTGTTCTTCTTGTGTCTATACTAGTAAGAAACTTTTGTGCTGAAGCAATTTACTTACGAGTACTGAGACATGGAAAGTCACTTTCCGAGAAATTCAAAATTTTGGTAGTTGTATTTTCTGGACATTCAACGTCTTTGCGGACTTTATCCATATGCCACAAGTCATCACACACGAACTTGAATGGTATGTTGAATATTGGAAGTCCCGATACTTCATGTAGAATATCTTCATGACAAACTTGTGTAGATGCATTTTTCTTGTTTCTCCATGGAGGGTAATCAGGAAAACATTCTTTGGTAGGTATGTACTTATGAGCAGTGAATGATGTCTTTTGCTGATGTGAACTCATGCTACGAATCTGATTCACACTCTCTTCACTTGAGAAATGTTTTGGAAGTGGTGGAAAATCGGTGGCACTTGTTGAAAATAGAGAAACACCCAAGCCAGTGGATTTTAAATATTTGTCATTGGCCGGTTCAGTTATTTCATTATTGTCTGCTGGGATTGTTCCACTTCCCAAACCCTTTGAGGTGCACAAAGAAAGCTGCTGTGAACACCATTGCGATTTACGGGGTATTTCCCCAAATTCAGGATAAAGCTTCAACACAAGCTTTTCTGTTTTGAATTTCCGGTTGCCTGGTAGAAATGACGGAGATGACTGTATAGACAAGCTTACATTACTTAAAAGCGGGAAATCCTTTTCATTTTTCAAATTAAATGCAAGCGTTTCATCAGCATTTTCATCTGCTAATGAACCAACTGTTGATAATGAATCATTGACTTCTTCTGATATTTCACCGCAAGTATCGTGATGCTCGTCAATAGTTGTGTCACCCGGAAATTCTGATGGAGATGGTACATATTGATATAATTCATCTGCGTGCTCTCTAGCCAAATGCCAGCTATATTCAACCTCTGAGCGAAACGCATTGATATATTGACGATTGGCGCAAACTCCAATCTGACACACAAAGTGATGTTTCCTAAAGTGTTTCTCCAATTCCGAATAGCTGAAGTAAAATAGATTTCCATTTTCACAGAAATGACAATAGTAATGAATGCATTTCATATGCTTATAAAGCTCTTCTTTATCAAGAAATCTTTTTCTGCAGAACTTGCAAAATGGATGTCCACAAGGTTCACCACTAGCCGATTCACCTTCACTACAATGTAACTTCAGGTTAGAACTCGTATAAAATAATCTATTCTGCGTAAATGTCTTTACGTAACGAACGCATATATCACAAAAAAATAATTTATGTCTGTGATAGAGATGTTTTTCGAGTTGTACAAAGTTAGTGAAGGGCAGCACATCACACTTGGGACATCCATGCTCGCTCAAACAGAAGAACTCTCTCTCGATATTTTTACCACAAAAGCCGATATTGTATTGCTGATTATAGCTGTAATCGCGCCAGCGTTTTGCCTCCAGCTGTTCAAACGGCAGTCTAGCATGAGTAAACATCACTTTTGGTAAATATGTTTTGCATACCGGGCATGTCATGTCACCGCATAGAACTCTCAAGCGTGCGGAGCATACGTAGCAAGTTGGATGATTGCATTCACCGATCGCGTAAATGTTTATCGGTTTATGGCAAATGAAGCAATAACCATCGGAAGCGTTATATGTGACATCATTCTCGTTGTCAGTTTGTGAAGGCTTCAGAGTTCCATCAGACGAATCGGTAGATGATATTCTATCAAGCTTTTCATCAGTCATTGTGCGCTTATCAGTGTTAATCGTTGCCAAGTTTGTCTTTAACATAAAAAGTATCTGTATTTTTCCGCAAACAATTTTTAATTATATTTACGACTGCGTTTTTCTTGTTTTCAGAAATTTTATTTTTTCAATTTCTATTCAAAATTTTGTTCAACTGAAAAATCAAAACATACTAAATCAAAAATTATGAATTAAATATTTATATATAAAATAAATTTGAAATTTAAATTCAAAATTTTGAAAAAAATATATATATATAATTATGGTATATGTGGGATAATTTTCATTACTTAAATATATTTGTTTAAACATTGAATTTAATTACAATATTATTTTATTTCGATACTATATAATAAACCTTGCTCGACGTCAATGATTTCGAGTACCCTCTTATACTAGGCATAGGCTGTCTATAAGTCGCTTCCACCTTTCCATATTGTTGCTTATTCTTGTTCCTAGGGGCTGCAAAACTGTATTTATTTACCGTTCATGAACTTATGATACTATATATTTATTTTAAGTATATTCAATTTATGTTATATATATATATATATTTAATTAAATTTAGTAAATATTTATTTTAAATATATAATGTTGTAACGTCTTATAACCTAAGTAATTAACAGTATATATTTCTTTTAAATATATTAAATTTATATTTAATATGCAATATATATATTAATCTCAATTTGTTTATGTGTCCAAATCTCCAGTTATTTGCCAACTGCAGCTTTGTCACTGTCATGACTCTATAACCATTTCCATGGTTATCGATCCATCTCAATGTTTGACTGATTTTGTAACTACGCTGATTATGCTATGCTCTAACAAAGGATTGCTTAATACCGTAAAACTATGAAGCAGTAATCAGATCTTAAATTGGTGATGGTAATGGTATTTAAGGGTTTTTGGGTTAGGCTAAGGCCCCTATGCACTGCGACCAGTTTGATCTATTGTGCACCCCTTTGTATTTAGATATTTAGTATCTCGAAGAATCGAACCAGCTCCTTCGGAGGGAGTTTTCGAAGGTCTTCATCCTCTATTTGGTATGTACCTAAAATTTTGTTTCTTCTGTAGCCTAATGCATCACAGTTGGTGATCAGATGTTCCATAGACTCGTCCTCATCACAGCAGAATTTGAAAATATTAGTGTCTGATATACATATTTTATGTGGGTGTTTGTTACATGCGGCGTGGTCTGTTAGTGCACCAAAGAGTGACTTTAGACATTTCTGCTTAGATTAAGAACGGTGTTTGCTCTTTTGGCATCGAGTTTACTTTCTCAATAGTTCGTGATTTTGTCAAATGGGTGAGCAAAGTTTAAAATATGCTTATTGGGGAAGAGCAATAACTTTGTTAGATTTTTTTGTTTAAATAGCTTCGAAGCACGAGAAAGAAAGCCAAAGCCCTTTGTCTACTTTATGAACCATTTCAATAGAAAAATTCCTCTAATCGATTAACTAATACTTAAAGCTTTTAATTACACTAGAATTTATGAATGATTACGTAATAAAAAACAAATGAAGGGTCTTTCCCTGCTTTGTCGATCATTATGATCCATTATGACGTCAATGGATTGGTTATAAGCAAAACTTTAAATGTATCAAAATTTTATAACTAATGGAGAAGCACAGATATGCAAGCTGTCAGTAGATAGCGGAGGAACTACACATCAACTGTATGGCAATATTGTATTATTTGAAAGTAAGAGGCTGCTCGATGCTTAGGTATGACTTTACATAATACAAAGAAATTGGACTACCCGAATTACCAACAATTAAACGCTGCTAAAACGTAATAATAATCGAAATATTTTAGAAGTGAATCATTACAGGCGTTGTCAAAAATAGGTTAAATAGCCATCATAGTCAAGAATCCGTGATTCACCATAAACACCTTTAATATCTGAATTAAAATCAATAAGGAATATGTTGAGTATTAGATGGGATTGAAAGGGAATTCTATTGTGAGTCTATTACGAGCTGCTTCAGATTGTTATAATGCTTAATTTGGCTATATACTGCTCACAGTCCGTTTAAATGAACCAATCAACACAATGCTATACAAACTGTCCAAATGAAAAGGAGTTGCGTTCCATAATCTACACACATCTTTGATGGCTTGAAAGAAATTGATAGAACTTGGTTGGAAAATTTGGATGTATCAACCGTGTAGCCCAGAACATCTACACACCATTTATTTTGATCTCTGTCGACAGCTTAGACCATCTGACTACCTTCACTTTTGGGCTCTATAAAACTCTCTCTCTCTCTCTCTCTGTTTTGGTAAAAAATTGGGCAATGGAAAGGCCGTTTAAAATTATTTTGCCGAGTTTTTTGTCGATTTACCGCAGAAGTTTTACACCACTGAAATTATGAAGGTACCTAAGAAATGAAGAGAAATCATAAACACTAATGAAATGAATTGACTGAAATTGATTTTTAAGAAAGAGGCATTTTATTCAAAAATGTACTAAAAACCGCCAGCGCAGACGACGAGTAGTTGTTGTTGTTTTTTGATTTGGAAAAGTAGTAGTACTCAAAAATGGGCTATTGAATCAAACTATTGTATCGGAAACATTTTAGGGATAGTTATTGGCACACAAGGGTAAATTTTACTTGCTGAATTAATAGTTAGCGTTTAATCTATATATCTTAAGATGAAATCGCAATATAAGTATTATGCGTAGGGCATTAAATCTACTTCTATGACTGTGGTTTTTTTGCAAGCTTTTTGTCATCATATATAAGTACGTATTATTTTCGAAATTTGTCTTGAAACAGAACATTGTCACCGTTAGTGAAAAATTGATAGCATATGTGAAAGTCTTTCGAAAGTCTAGCCAGCATCTACGGCGATAATCATCACACCGTTAGTGAAAAATTGATAGCATATGCGAAAGTCTTTCGAAAGTCTAGCCGGCATCTACGGCGATAATCATCACAGTACACACAATGTCATTGAAATGAATGAACTCAATATTTTGATGAGCTTGTCGTATATCAAAATATTTTGCTTATGGCACAGATATGTTTGATTTTATCAATTATTTATTAACAATATATAGTAAATGTATAACATTATGTATTTCTCACTATCTTACCTTATATATACATATACACAAGCACACATATAAAAGGAAATTGAATAGATAATTCACTTACCTGGTATATTTAAGCTAACTAAATATAGCGTTGATGATATTCACTGTTACTCAGGTTTCAGAACGAACTTTTGTTTTTACAACTATGACAAGAAATAATTTTCTGAATTTGATGGAATGTTTAATTTTATTTAAAAAATTTCGAAGTCTACTATTTTTGTTTTTGTACTTCTTATATACTAAAAGATAATGCACAAATATCACAGAACGTTTTAAGATTTAATAATTTTATAAATATATTTTCCTAATCTATATAAGACGACCACTTTTTCAACTTCAGATGTACGATTTTAGTGACTTGGGATTTTTATTAATTTTGTGCAATAATTTGACAGCACTTGCAGTCACTTTCAAAATGTAAGAAAAAATTGACAGTAGAAAAAGTAATTTAATTTTGAGGTTATGTGTTTTTAGGTTATGCTCAAGTTTTTTGAAATTAATGTTTTGGAATTATATTTTAAGTGTGCTTAGGGTCATGTTATGCTGATAGGCAAGGCTATATCAAATGTAAAATTATTGTTTTGAATATAAATTAAAAATTTTAAATTTAAAGCAATAGAGGGTCTGTAATTAACAATGACGTGGAATTTATTTTTGTTTCGTCAAGTTGTTCACAACAGTGTTGCTTAGTAATAAAAGTAAGAATTGTGGCTTTTTACGAACAAATATGCATATTTTCTTTATTGATATATTCACATATCTACACAAAAATAATTCAATTAATAAATTTAAGTATAGTCTGCAAAAGTACCCAAATTGTGGTTAAAAAAAAAAAAAATTAGAATAAAGAAAATAAAATATACAATTTACATATGACATAAATATATGTAAATTTAAGAGAGAATATACCATATAAAACATATGATGTCTTTTAGTCATATTTTTGGTAATTGCACGAATTTACCTGTACCATAAAAATCTTATTCAAATACGATTTTAATAGTAGGTTAGTTTTGTAAACAATAATGTATAGCACAATCCAAAAAACCAACTAAGGGATGTGATATTTTTTCCCACTCAAACTCTAAAAACTTCATAGTTTTTGTTAAAGATATGTAATTAAAAAAGTGAAAAATGATGTTTTTGCGATTTTGTAATTCTGATCTAAAAAAACAGGAAACTGATATATAACCATATAATTCGTCCGTCACTTCTTTTTGGTTGTGTAGCATTTAACAAAGCTTCAAACACTACTATTTACCAGCTAGAAATTGCATAAAGCCAGACTCTGAGAAGACTTTTCAAAGTTCCATGGTGCATTAGGATGAATGACATCCTCAGGGACATCAAGATTGATCTCATCAAAAAATACATAAAGGATAGAGCCCTTAAATTATTTGGAAAACTGACAGACTTTCCAACACCGCGTTATCAAATCTCAGAATGGTTACAGGCTCCTCGGGGAGGTATGCAGATCTGAGGTCAATTATTGCTTAGTCTGATGAAGTGATAAACAATAATCTAGAAAAGGCGCAAAAAAGGGTTTTGAAGGAACCTCGAGTTAAGAAAGAGCATAAGTGCTTAAGTGCACTAGCTCAAAACAGCTTCAACATAATATTTTTAGTTAAATAAAAAATTATTATTATTATAAAAATTTTTAAAAATTAAAAATAATTAGAATTAAAAAAGATAGCTTTCGACAGTTTTAACCTCTTTAATACCATCAAATCGAGAGCATGATATATTTCTGTGATGCATTTCAGCTGGCAGCATGAATTATATTAGCTCGTTTCACTTATGCCGTGAGCTTTTTGTAGACGATTCAATTTTGATCACCAGCTCTAAGTTACTTAAAAAAATAGTTGTCTGCTCTGTTTTAAGCTAATATCGCATACATTGATTTCTTGTGATATTAGTCTTGATTTGATTTGACATTAAGTATACTCGGCGCCTTGCCGATCAGGAACTAAAGGTTTGTTTACATTGTTTTTTTGTTGTGTTGGCTTCAAAGAGGGACGTGAAGTACTAGTGGATGATCAACCGCACATACCATTTTCTAGTAGCATTACATATGAAATGTATTTAAAGAGTTTCAAATGGAAACTAAATCAAGTTATGCTGCGCTAATTTTAGGTAACTCATTTTTTAACCGTTTGATGGTTTGTTGTAGACAAAAGGTGGCCACATAAATGGATTCTAAAATTTTGATTATTTCCGCAAATGTTTGTAATTTGAATCAATAAAAATTGTACACAAAAAAGATATGGTCACTTGAAGGGGTAATAGTTCAATTGTCTAATCCTGTATATCGGTGGACTTGAATTTGGGGTAATTAGAATATAAACTTATTTTACTTAATATAATAGTCATATACAGGGCATTGCACTTTTATGCACTTTGTCAGTTTACTTTTAATCTATGTATCTGCATCTATAACTTCAGCTTTAACTGATTAGGCTCAACTACTCGTGCCAGTAAAAAGACTATTTTGCGTGCAGTTCAGTGTATCATTTGTCTAAATTTGTCTAAAAGCATTTTATGTAAATAAATTTGATTGCTCATTTGCATATTAAAATGCCAGTGATTGTCACTGTTTCTGTTAAAAACATGCAATAAGTAATTAGGTTAATGTAAAAAATATGCATGTTGTCATAAAATATGCAACATGCCATGGGGCGGCAGTAAATTGTCATAATAGCTGCCATTTAGGCAATAAATTTCTTAAAATTGCCGTTTTATTATGTAAAGTTCTCCAATCCAATCAGATACATTTTATACAATTTTAGAAATATTTTTTTTTTGTTTTGTGACAAACAAAATTGATCAAAAAATTATGTTTATGCCAAATTTAAATGACTTTTCACTCTCGTTAAGCAAATGTCTGTTATTTTTGACTTCATTGTGATTTCTAGAGAATTACTGTACCATAAGATGTATGCATAATCACATTTGTGGAATGCAATGCTGTTAGGAGTATAACGTATATATCTCATGGTAAATTATTAGTTTGCATATAGCACAGAAAGTTTATAATTTGAGTATCAAGTAAACAATTTGAAATGATGTATTGCTATTCATATTTTGGTGAGATATATGTAGCAACACTGGCGGGTGTATGTTGTTTGTTATTTGTATCAAAGGTATATGCCCTCATCTAACACACTGTAAATAAATGCGTATATTACGACAACAACTTACATACATACACATGAAGAAGGCAATAATTCTAAAGTTACTTCAGTACGTTCGTTGGTCGTTGCTTATTCTGCTACCTTTAATGCGAAGCGAAGCTTACATGGTTGCGTATAAGAGTACTTTTTCCCTTGTCCACTCGTGATATGATTTACATAAGCCAAATACCACATACATCAAATCAGAAAGACCGTAAAGTGGTTTGATTCGTACGAAATGTGTACGTAAAATCCCAGAGTGCCCTTTTTTGCTTCGAAACGAAAAGCTGAACGAGGTTCATTACTACGCTTTATAGTATCTTATTTGTTTGTTTTGCTTCACTTTATAAGAAATATTGCAAAAAAAAGGGATAATGTACAAAAAATCTGAGTGCTTAGTAATTTACATAAAGAGGTTCAAAGAACGTTTTTATGGTGATTATCCTCAGTTAATGGTTCCTTTAAAGGCAAATATAAGTATAATATTGTTGGTCTTTATGGTTGGCAGTTATTTATCTTGTGTACTTAATATTATTAATTTAATTTACTGCATATTTTCTTAAATAGTCAATTTTCAATAATGTGAAGAACTGCAATTACCAAAAACAATTTTTATGTTGAAGTATACATTTTATAACACTAACACCATTTAAGTGTTAAAAAAGGTTTCAAGGATGTGTAATAAAAAAAAAAAAGTTCAATTAAATGTGCTCTACAAAAGATTCAAATATGTGCAACGCAACGTATCAACGTCATATAAATTTGCATATAATTTATTATCAATATGTGACCATGCGTCCTTCCTCTCCCACAATCAGCATCACTGCCGTCCGACACTTGTGTACCAGTGTCATTCTTTTTTATGGATACCAGCAAAAATTCCATTACAAGTTAAAGAAAAACAAGATAAATGAAATTTTGATGCAAATTTGATTTGTTGTGAATGTACGAGTGCAACCAGTGACACTGCTTCGGGTGCACCACTATCAGGATTAAAAACATGAAAAATAGCCAAGTCATCATCTGTGCTTGTAGCAGTCAAATGTAACAGTTGACGTTTTTATGTAGAAAGATTAATTATTAAATATTTCGTTGTGTTATCAAATTTTTCAATTCAAGAGTCCCAATTCAATTCTTTTGTTTATCACTTTTTCCCTACCAATTTACATAGTTGGCAAGATATGAATACGAATTGAATTAAATTTAAAATTTTTATTGAATGCATATATGACCTTACAATTCGTATTATTAAAAATACGAATATATGACCTTAAAATTTAAGAATTAGAAAGTCTATTCACAAATAAGTAAAACGTAGCTGGATTTGTTTGTTTCTGTTGCTACTAATCTTCGCCAGATGGTTTTGGGACGACATCGTCTCCCTACTCCTTGCGGAGTAGCTGTCGGCTTTCTAAGTGTGCGGCCGAGCCAACCATATTTGCATCGTATTGCTACAAACAAAAGACTTTGGATCAATTGGGTAATGAACACTGACTCTGAGTTTGAAATTTGGTAGGGTACGAGTTCAACCCTTAGTTCATGTAGTCTCAAACAGTTATTTACGAATATTTGCCTCGTATTGCTGCAAACAAAAGACTTTGGATCAGTTGGGTAATGAACACTGACTCTGAGTTTGAAATTTGGTAGGGTACGAGTTCAACCCTTAGTTCCAATAGTCTCAAACAGTTATTTACGAATAATTAAATATAAGAAATATTTTCAAGGTAACATAGGTATTTGGCAATACTCGAAACAGCTGTCTGGACTTGTAGAATAGCTCAATTAATTAATTATTATTTTTATTTTTAATTGTTTTTGTTTTACAATCTCAATAAATTATCAAAATATTTAAATATTTTAAAAAAATATTCCAAAATTTGGTTTCATGTGTGATTTAAGATTTATTCGCTTCGGCAGTTTTCTAATTTTGCACTGCAATTAAACGCACTCAAACATCATTAGCAGTGCTAGAAACGATAATAGCAAACAAACAAGTCACGGC